TGTTGAATGCTGGTATTAAAGATGTGCGTCACCATGCCTGGATTAAGCTAAACTTTTTGTACATGAAATCCTTAGTAATGTAAAACATATACATTTAGTTTTACATTTTGTCTGTGATCTTTAAAATCTCATGAGTGTGGGGGAAGATGGAGGGGAGAGAGAGAGAGAGAGAGAGAGAGAGAGAGAGAGAGAGAGAGAGGGTGTAGATCTGTCATAGCCACTTTAAAGGTCATCGGACAACTTGTTGGAGTTGGTTTTCTCCTTCCACCCTGTGCGATCCAGGGGTTGCCGTCAAGGTCGGTGGCAAGTGCCTTTATTCACTTTTACCTGCCAATCCATCTTGTCAGTCTCCTTCCTGCAAACTTCTTAAAGGAAACACCGGATGGTAGGAGCTAAAGAGATGGCTCAGGAATTAAGAGCACCGCATTAGTTACCTGTCTGCTGCTGTGGTATAATACTAGGACCACGGTCATTCATAGGAAGAAGGGCTTGGTTAAGTTTATGGTTCTAGAAGGTTAAAATCCAGGATGGTGGCGTGGAGACAGCAGGTGCCAGGCAGCAAAGCTACAGACTCACATCTTGAGCTGTTAGCAGGAAACAGAGAAGGCAAATTGAAAAGTGGAATGGGCCTTTAAAGTCTCAAACCCACCTCCAGGGTTCACTGTTATGCTTTCCCCAACAAGGCTACAACGTCTCACCCTCCCACTTAGTCCAACGACTGGAGACCAAGTCTTCAAAGGGAACTCTAGTCCAACCACAAGCTCGTGCAGCCCTGGTTCAGAGCCTGTCTTCCAAACACTGGGCAGCTCGCCTTTGCAGCCATTCAGACACGCACTTACACAATAATATAGAAAGCAGTAAATGAAAGCCCTAGAAAGTGAGAGAAAAAAAATACAATAAAATGGGGGGGGGCAAAAATTAAATACAGCGTGTCAGTTAAATATACTGTATATTTTTTAAAAACAGCTTCCTGGGCGGGGGGCAGGGGAAGAGCAACAAATAATGTTAAAAAGAAAAAGGAAAACATTTGTATAGGTCCTACCCACCTATAAAATCACACAAAGATATTTTATACGATTGCATATTAATAATTTAAATATGAACTGAAATACTTTTTAAAAATATGCTACGTAGAGACTGAGAGTAGAGAAATCAGATGATTGTTCAACTAACTTCTTACAAATACGTAATTTGAAACTTTACAACAAATTAACGGTAGAGCCCAGGGCTTCTCAGAAGTGTTTGAAGGAGAAGTGAGAACCCTTTCTAGGCCTGTAGAGTGTGTCATTGGCCATTCACAGCAAGGTGCCACGGTCATCATGATACAAAAACTCACAGGAGTTTTTGTAAATTTGAAAATTCCAGCCATACTTCATTCATCAGTTCAGATACAAATTCATAGAAATAATATTAGTAAATCTGCCTATTAACATCCAAAGGGCAAGGGGATGATCGATGCAGATCGATGCAGAATTGGAAAGCCAAAACCATACTGATAAAGTGTTATCCTGAACTCCCAAGTTAAAAAACTTTTCTCTTTTGTTTCACATTCTTAGTAAGTTTGTTTGTTAATTTAAAAAATTCAGTAAACCACATCTATTATTAAGTAAAAATGCTAACATTATTACACATGTTGGATGTATTTACCCAGAAATCAAGGTTTGATAACAATTTGAAAAATCAGCACAATTCATCACATTACCAGAATAAGGGAAAACCCGCTTGATTGTTTCAATTGATTTTAATATATGATGCTGATAAAATTCTAAGTAAGTTCAGAACCAAAACAGCAACAACAAAGAAAAAGTATTTAAGGTTAGAAAAATCACTATATTAATCTGAAAAAAAAAATGTGCCCTGAAAAAAATCTTTAGCAAGTATCATAGTTAATGGAGAAACACTGAAAGTGTTCTTACTGGGATAGGATTCAAGACAAAGTATGCAAGTTTCCTAGGCCTGTGTGACGAGGTTAACCCAAACTGGGTCACTTAAACGACAGAAATAAATGTTCTCACAGCTCTGTTAGAGTTTGAAATCCAAATGCCCCCTGTGAGGGCTCCGGATTCTTCCTTGCCTCTGAGCATCTGTGGATACCAGTCTTCTCTAGCATTCTTTGGGCCTGATTTATAGAGTCCTGGCTCCAGGCCTCATCTCCTCCATCTTCACAGGGCTCTCCTGCGGGACTGTGTTTTTTTCTCTTTTCAAAAGGACATCAGGAACATGACAGTGAACAGCCTACTCTATGGTGATGTTACCTTAATATGGATCACATTGGCAAACTGACTACTTGAAAATAAGGTCACATTCCTAAGTACTTGAAATTTCAATGCTTTTTTTGTATTTTTTTCTTTAAATTGGATATTTCTTATTAATGGGAGGATGACACATGAATGCCACAGCCCATGGTATACACTCCCACAAAGAGTCCCACACACATACACATAATTTAAGAATAAGAGTATAAATATGCTCACAGAGACTGAGCCACCAACCAAAGAGCATGTATGAACTGGTCCTAGGCCCCCTGCACACATGTAGCAGATGTGCAGCTTGGTCTTCATGTGGGTTCCTGGAAAAGTGGAGGAGGGGACCTCTCTGGCTCTGAGGCTTGCCTTTGGATCCTGTTCCCCTGACTGTGCTGCCTTGTCTGGCCTCTGTGGAGAGGATGCGCCTAATCCTGCAGAGATTTAATGTACCAGGGTAGATTGGTACCCATGGGGGATGTTCCCCTTCTCTGAGGAATGAGATGTCCCACTTTTGCACGTTATACCAAAAACAACACGCCAACCACTGATAAATTTCACAAACAAAAACTTAAGCAAAAAGAAAAAAAAATTGACCCATCATTTCATCATTCTATTCTAGGCTTTGTGCTAGACCTGAATCAGCAGGAGGAATAAAAACAGCCAGTATCTCTGCTCCCGTGGTGTTTGCTTCAGGTGAGAGAGACAATGATAAACACAGATGAATATATTCCGCACCCAGCAGAGTCCTCTCAGAGAGAGAGAGAGAGAGAGAGAGAGAGAGAGCCTTGCTGCTCATTTGGAGATACAATGAGGGTAGGATGGGAAGAAAGCTCTCAGGGTCTCACTGGACTGAACTCGGAAAGCCATTCCAGAGTGTTCTGCTCAGCCGTAAAACGCTGCAGCTACACCTTCTGTCCGTAAGAAGGGCTTCCAATGTCTGTAGATGCGCTCTCAGATTTCCAGGCGCTTATCCAAAGGCAGTCTTGATTTGTAATTCGTGGCATTAGCCCTAAATTTGAGAGAGAAAGAGAGAGAACCACTAATTTTAAAATTAATTTTAGTGACACCATATTAGACTAGAACGTTCTTCCGAATTCATACTTCAAAGTGTAGTGTTTTTCAGCTCATAAAAATACTTAATACCCTCCTCGTGGAGCATCTGAGAAATAAGAAAACTGCAGAGAAAACAAAGATGTGCATTTCTGGCACCACCCCCCAGGCTCATGTAGCTCAGGCTGGCCTGGAACTTGCTGTGTCTCCAAGGGTGAATAGACCTGAACTTCTGATCCCCTAGCCTCTACCTCCCAAGTGTTGAGATTACCGGGTGGCATGTGCTGCCCAGCCAGTCTCCATGGTTTTACAGCTCCAACCCAGGGCTTCAGACCTGCTAGGCAAGAACTCTGCTAACTGAGCCTCGTAATCAGCCCTCTCTTGAGATTTTTTTTAATGTAATGATAGAATTTTCTTTTTTTAAATTTTTTTACAGTTTTTTTATGTTATATTAATCACAGGTTATTTCCTTTGTATCCCAGCCTTAGCACCCTCCCTCATTCCCTCCAAATCCCACCCACCCTCCCTCCCTCATCTCCTCCCTGCCTCTTTCCAAATCCACTGATCCTCCCCTTCCATCTGACCCTAGTTTATCGGGTATCTTCAGGACTGGCTGCAAAATCCTCTTCTGTGACCTGGGGGGGGGGGGGGAGGGGAGAGGAGAGCTCGCCATTGAGATCATGTCAGAACCCACTTGGATACTGAGCTACCATGGGCTACATCCGAGCAGAGGTTCTAGGTTCTATCTATACATGTTCCTTGGTTGGAGAAACAGTCTCATGAAAGACCCCTGTGCTCAGATATAGTTGGTCCTTGTAGAGCTCCTGTCCTCTCCAGGTCTTACTAACTCCCCCTTCTTTCATATGGTTCCCTGCACTCTGCTGAAGGTTTGGTTATGAGTCTTAATATCTGCTTTGATACACTGCTAGATAGAGTCTTTCAGAGGCCCTCTGTGGTAGGCTCCTGTCCTGTTACTTGTTTTTTTCCTACATCCAATGTCCATCTCATTTGTGATCAACCTCACTCTCTTGCGATTTTTAAAGTGCTGTTTTTATATTTATTTTCAGAGTTAAGATCAGACTTTCAAAGTGGTTTTGTAACCTGAGTTGTTTTTTTTTAATGCAATAAAATTTAATGCAATAAGAATTTCTCCACGTCATTAGTTTTCCTAAATGCAATTCCTGAAATTGGAAAAAAAAAATCACCCTACAGCTACACCTCAAGGCCCAGTTTGAGTACTTTGCTTTCTCCGGGCAGAATTCTATCTGGTCTTAGGTCAAGAAAACCATGGAAAGGGCCAAGAACTCAGCACCAGCCGTGGAACAAAATGCCTCGAGCTCCTTAAGTTTTTCCCAGAGATTGAATCCTGGAATTCCCAAAGATCTTCGAAAGCGAACGTCTCTGCAAAAGGAAGTCCGGTCGAGAAACTTACTGCAGCCCTCCCAGACCTCCCCGAAGGTCGGAGAGGTGACCACGTCCCGACGGAGCCGCGTTAGTATTCCGCTCCCTGCAGGGCTGGACGCGCGGTGCAGCCCCGCCGGGCTCCCTCTGCCTTGCACCTCCCCCACCGAGCCTCTTCCTCTGAGCCCCCAATCCGGGCCACGGATTTGAACTTGGGAGGAGCGCGCCCCAGGTCCCCGCCCTGCCCAGATCCATCACCCTCCCTACCGGGACCGCGCAGGCGCAGGCGGCTAGGAGTCCGGCCACAGTCCCGGCGGAGCCTGAGGTTGCGCCCGTGCTGTCGCTGCCACTTGGACCACTCACCATGAGCCGGGCACCCCGTCTGCTGCTGCCCGCGGTGCTCTGCCTGGGGCTCGGCGCCCTCGTGTCTTCCTCGGGGTCCTCGGGCGTCCGAAAGCGAGGTCCCACGGTGACGGACAAGGTGATCCAGCGGCTACAGCAACTCCCCCTCCTGCGGGCCGGGCACTGGGGAGCTTGGGCGACCAGACCTCTGTGGAAGGGCTGGAGAGAAGGGGCTCCCGTCGAGGGGGACTGGCGGGGACTTTGGGGGTGGCTTGCTGGGACTGAGGGAGCTGGGGATAGGTGGAGGAGGGACTAACTGGAATTTGAGACGGGCTGGGACTGGAGGGCTTAGAGGTGGCCACGCGGCAGGCGGGAGGGGACGCCTGCGAGGAGCCAGCGGTGCGCTCCCACCACCCGGGGGCTCCTGGGCTAGCTCCTGCCGCCGGTGGTCTGGGCGTTGTTACCCGGGCGGGCCCGACGTGAGAAGCTTGGGAAACGGGACTTGCTCCCTGAGCCCGCAGGCCCTTTCTCTTAGAAAGCAGGCTGCTGGAGTACTTCCTTGGAGTGGCCTGGATGTGGAACAAAGCGGCAAGAGCCTAGAGGGAGGGGACAGGCCGAGGAGTGGAGGCCCCGGGCTGGGCTGCCTGCTCAGGACGTCACTCCCTGGGAAGAGCCTGGGCCCCCCGTGGGGTACTCAGATGAGAATCGTCCTCCTCCCCTGTTTAGGAACTGTCACCCTCCAAGAGGAAAGAGTACGGTTTGAAACTTTGCGGCGGGCCGGGTTGAGTCCTGAGCAGGCATGACAAAGCGTCACTCAGAATCTTAAGAGAGGCATGTCGGGGAATCTCCAGGAACTTAGTCTGTACAGTGTCCACTGCTGAAGTTATTTCAGTCTCTTTGTCAGGGGACAAAAAGAAAAAGGTGCTGGGAGAAAGGGAGGGAGGGGTAATGACTACTTCCAGGAAAAAAAAAAAAAGTTCTAGCAGTCTTGGAATGGGATGGAAACAGCCGAAGTGGTCTTAATGACCGGTCTGGTTGCCTCTGGAAATGATACCTCAGAGGTTTAAATCCTCTACGCAGAGCCAAAGAGCCAGCGGGAAGGAGTGAGGCCGTCATCCACTGTCCTGAAACCTGAAAGCCAGCGTGGGTAGAGAAACATCCCTCCTCAGGGAGCCTCTTGATCTTTTAGGTATCTGAACTAGAAAACTGATTTGTGCAAGCCACAGAGATAAAGAATGTTTGGTCTGCAGGTACTGTTTCAGATAAAACCTTAACTATAAATATAAAATGCATATACCTCTGAAATAGCAAAGGAGGCGAACCTGATATTAGATGCATGCCATTTAAAAACACGCGGCTAATGAGGAGAAACCAACCGGCAAAGGCTTGGGTGCCGAAATGAACTGCATGGGCACAGGTCTCCAGGTGGGAAAGCCGTCCTTGTCCCCCAGCCTGCCTAAAGGGCAGCTTGTCTTTGGGGCAGAACTAAGGGCAGAATGGCCCGAGGTGAGGTTGGAAGAATGAGTATCAGAAAGACTCTGAACAGCCTTGAAAGTGAAGGCTAGGAGTGTGGCCACTGTGGCCACCATTCCGAGGACTCGGGTGGGACTCGGAGGCAGTGTTCTTCTCTCAACCTTCCTAATTCTGCAACCCTTTAACATAGTTCCTAATGTTGTGGCCATAAGATTATTTTCATTGCTACTTCGTAACTGTGATTTTCCTACTGTTTGAATAGTAGCGTAAATATTTGATATGCAAGATATCTGATATGCAACCCCTGTGATAAGGGGAGGGGGTCGCAACCTACGGGTTGAGAACCTCCGCTCTGAGGTAAAGTGGCTGAAGGGGTTTGCACATGGGAATGACATAATTTCATATATGCTCTTAAGAAATTCCTGTGGTCACCTGGGATGGTGAACTGAGAGGCCCATTCGGGGCTCCTCGCCAGACTCCAGATGGTGGCTTGGATCAAGGTGGTAATCTTGAGAATGGGGGAAAAGGAATTTGAAGTAGATATTGGAAGCATAAGTAACAGGAGTTGCTGAAAGCTTAGATGAAAGAGTTATAGGGTGGTTAGCTCAGCAGCATGATGCCTGAGAAGATGCGAATTTCCGATATTAAGAGTGGGTCATTCTTTGGTATAAGTCCCCAGTGATACTGGAAACGCTTCCCCCAGAGAGCTTCTAAAATATATTGATGGAGGTTAACTCAGAGCGACTGTCGGTGATGCTTCTAAAATATATTGATGGAGGTTAACTCAGAGCGACTGTCGGTGACCGGTCACTGCAGTAGTGCTCCATCTCGAACTTGTGACACCTCCTGGCCAGCCTCTGGTGCAGTTGGGCATAGAGGAGAGCCTCGGAAAAGAAAAGGCCCTGGCTGCAGGGGAAGGGGTGGGGCATCCTGACTTCATCCGGAGCACAGTTGCCTAGACCTGGGGCCCACTCTCAGACCTGCCAGCATAGTTTCTTTCTCGGCAAGCTTTACTAAATTCTGACAGCCAGAAGTGTCTCCAGCCTCTCAGAGATCTACATTGGTGGGACTCTTGAGTTACTCTGTTAACGAGGGTGTTACAGAGGAAAAGAGGCATTAAAAGGGAACTGTAGGTTAGCTGACCGTGGCTCTCCTGTGTCGTTTCGTTCACAGCCCTTTCTTTCACTGTGACCCTATCTCAAGGCAGGAATCTGTAGATAAGAAGTCTGAGGTGCTCCCCCTCCACACGCACTGGGGCTCCTGCCTCCGTTTCAGCCTGGCAGCCTCCTGTCCCAGGTGCTGTGGCGTGAGCTCTAGATCACAGACTCAGAACCTGTTTTCCAGCAAATGCCACTCTCTAGGTCGCAGATTCACCTTGGACTGAAGTTCTAATGCTCACACTCCTAGTTGGGAAGTTTAGGCCCAACACTTATCCTTCCTCATTCCCACCTTCCTTGTCTGCAAATTAGTCATAACAGTCCCTGCTTCCCTCAGGTTCGGGGAGGGAATGCGTTACATGGGGTGGCAGAGTGCACGCCGACAGTCTCAGTCAGCTTCCCTGTTCCAGAGAACCTCGTTGTTCTTCAGCTGGTGGGGACCCTCTAGACTGCCTGGGCACCACGTGACGCCCATTCCCAAAGCCTCCTTGGCTTCTCCACTCTCTCTGTTGCCTGGCAAAGCAGGAACCTCCGAGAGGAGCGTCTGCCCAGAGGAACTTGCAGCAGCTCCCTGCCCCAGCCACGAAGGCTGCCTTGGTGCTCGGCCACCAGAACACGGGTCCTGCCTGGGTACCTTGGCTGCAGGAAGTAGTGTCAAGGGAGGTATATGCCCACTCCTGTCCCCGGCCCTGTTGCCCTCCTTCCAGGCCTGCCTGCCACTCCTCCGGGGTGACCTCTCCCAACCCTTCGTGCCGTCCAGGTCTTCGTGTACGGAGTCCCTGGGCACAGCCCACATGCTGTCTTTCACCAACTGTGGTTATCTATTTATTTTTGCTTTTCTTCTTTTAATTTTTACTTCGAGACCTGTAACTTGCTGGCCCCAACCTCACACGGATCTCTGTCTCTGCCTCCCACTATGCCCACTTTATCCTATTTCCTACAAGCCGCCCTTAAGCCAGTTGGTGCAGGGACATTGCTTTGTACTTAGGTACTTAGTAACTACTTGTTAGCTAAACAGGATTGGACCTTGTCATTTCCATTAGAGCTGGGAACATTCCAATGTGATTCCTTATACTGTCCTCATGGAGCTGGAGGGCATGGCAACAGGGAGAAAACGTTTCAGCGAGAGGTGCGCTGGGCTGCGTGCACAGATGGGATTTTTACAGCAGATATGCGGGTGCCGGCTTCTTTTGCTTCATCTCTTGCAGTGGTCTTCTTTGTTGCTTGCTAAGAACTTACTCCCTTATTTAAAAAGTCGGGAAGGCTTTGCAAGCCTTTATCTTACAGGCTGTCTCGTTAAAATTACACCCCGGATTGTCTGAGGAGGCTGAAAATGCATCCCCAAGATCCTCTAGCAGGGGTTGCTCTGTTCCTGCCCACATTCCCTTCCCATCTGGGTGTGGAAATCCCTTAGAGAGACCACTGCTCACTGCCAGACTCACGGGTGCTGAGGCAGCCCTCTGTCCCCAGGCCGCACTGGTGGTCCTCTTCTGCCAGCGCTCACACCAAGAGCCACGTCTGCAATGCTTCCAGGAAAGCTCTCGGATATAAATGATAATAAGACTGTGGCTGTTTTGGCCATGTGGACATGTAAATGCCACACAAAGCACTAAATATCACATCAGCCCGTGACAGGCGTTCTGATATATTGGCAGAAGCCCTTGCCTTGAGCTGAGTTTGACAGTCTTTACCTAGTGATTTTTCTAGATTGCAAGGCATCTTTTTTCTTTGACAACCCTTCTTATATCTTTTAAAGCCATCCCTTGAATGTCTTTTTTTACCCATTCAAACAGTAAATTGGTTCGTATAATCTAAACTCGCTAATAGAATGCCCTTTGACTCCGTGGCCTTTTCAAGCCTCCTGTCTCCGAATCATCAGAACATAGTGATTTGTGAAGCAAAATGTGTATAATTTCATTCCAGGTGAAACAGTCTTTAAAAAGAAACTCCAAGAGAACTTTTAAGGTTTAATTTGAAAAAAAAAAAAATGTGACTCATACTTCTAGCTGTGCTATCTTTCTTTTGTTCTAAGATGACAGAGAAAGAACAAATTCTACTTGGGTGTCTGTGGGAACAGGCCCCCCGAATCCAGTGTTGAAGTTTACAGAACAATAGCTTCGTGACTAGCCCAGTGCAGGTTGGCTGTCCTGCTGGGGACCTGGCATCTTACTGCTCTTGGATGTGAATGGCAAACCTTCCGAAGGATTGCTGTTGTGTGTCATCATCTGTGGCTGTTCCCTTGACAGCAGGCGTCTACTGAGAATTGACTGTGAGTTTGGCAGTGTTTGAAGTGACAAGAAGACAAATTTGGATGGGTAGCCTTCGGCTCCGCTCACCATTTTTTTTTTCCCTCCTGCCAATAGTAAAGAGTATTACTTTTAAAGAGCAATAGTCTTTGCTCCATTCTTCATCCACAAAGAAGGGAAGTGGGCAAAAGCAGAGCTGTGGTTTTCTAGGGCTTGATGGGAGTCCTGTACCGAAGAGTTTACAAAGTTGAGTCTGGCCATATTGACATCAAGCTTCATACTCAAGTACCTGGAGCACCGCTTGACCCGTAGGTGGTGCTCAGTAAATGTTTGTTGTACGACTATTTGGGAACACAGTATTATTCTGCACCTGGAACTGGCCTCATGCCTCCTGATTCTCATAAAACACCAACGGGCAGGCTTTCCTATAGGGGCCAATTTTCAGATTTGACTTTGATTTCGCTCGGATTTCTGTCTTTTTCGTATGGTGACCTTCTTATGTGCATCTCAATCACCCGCAGGTCTTCTTTGATGTGAAGATTGGAGACAAAGACGTGGGTAGAATTGTGATTGGCCTCTTTGGAAAAGTTGTACCCAAGACAGTGGAAAACTTTGTGGCTCTAGCAACAGGAGAGGTCTGTCTCAGCCTTATTTATTGCCTTTAACTGAACACAAGTGTGGATCCTCCTTAAGACAAGAGACAAAGCTATCTTCTGGAAAAATGAGAATTAATGTATCGGATGAGTGTGTGACATTTTAGAATTTGGTTTTCTTATAATTATTCAAGCACACAGTGTCCTTAGACTTCTAGAGATTGAGAGAAAAAAATATCAAGTGAAAATACAGACTGCTTAATCCCATTAATACTTGATTTCCACAGCTGAGTTATTTGGGCCCAGTTAGTGATAAGCTTTTCTCCAGTACATAATTACTAGGACCTAGTCAAATTCTGTAAACATTTTGTTCAGTTTTTCTTGTGTTCAGATAAACACTGCTCACCTTTCAATATGGGTTGTTTCTCCTTGTCCATTCTACCGAACTCATCTCTTTAGAAAGGCTACGGGTACAAAGGGAGCATCTTCCACCGCGTCATCAAGGACTTCATGATTCAAGGAGGGGACTTCACAGCTAGAGACGGCACTGGAGGTGACGCTGTCCTTGCCTTTCTCCCTTCCCACTTGATGGGCTGAAACCAAAGCATTAGAGAGGAGGCCACACACGTTTTGAAGGCTGGGGTTTAGTTCTTACAGAAATACACAGGATTAGGGATGTAGCTCAGTACTAGAGTGCTTGCCTACCATGCACAAAGCCTTGGGGTCCATTGCCAGCACCACAAAACAAGAGCAAAGTGGTAAAGGGTATGAAGTTCAGGGTGGAGAAGAGAAATACACTCAGGATCCTTGGCGATAAGGTTTGCAGAGAACCATGCATAGAAGCAGCCCAAGCTGCTGCACCACCTGATCTCCAGAAACTGCAGCTGGCTCTGGTACCCGTGCCCTCACTCAGGGGGCAGGGGAGGACATCACTTTCACCTGCTTCCTTTCCAGAGTCCAGCAGGGACAGTGACAGCTTTACTTTGCCCTCTCTTCAATTTTTATTCTCTTCTACACCTTCCCTGCTCGCTGTGTGTATGTGTTTTGGGGTGCGGGTGGTGCTAAATCTTAGGTTAAAATTTTCTGAGTTTGGAAGAGAGGACATTTTGGAGCATTTAGCCTAGACCCCTGTGTGAGCAGAGCTATCCTCCAGGCCACCTCCCATGCCCTAGACCAGCAGCTTTAAAATTCTTGGTTTTGGTTTCCACTTCTGGTACTTCTAGCTGAGCCAAGGTTTTTGAGGTTGGCAATCTCTGGGTAGACAGGCTGTGATAAGAAGTGGCCAGGACAGGCCCTTGAGGGGCCGGAACATGGGGTGGGTGGTTCTTACAGTCTGCACTGCTGCTATTGGGAAAGGACCCCTGCCATTGCTACTGCTTCACTAGAACTACAGGACAGGGGTGTTTCTAGTTGTGATTGTCCTCTGTGTCCTATGGGCTCAGAAGTCACATCTGTCACTTACTGAGGAGCTGCTGCTTGCTGCTCTTGGTGCTGAGGCAAGAAAAAACTCTAGGCTTAGAGTCAGAGAGCCAGATTTTGCAATTCTGCTCTGTTTTTGAGTTTTGTAACTCCCAGCAAACTCAGGATTGAGAAGGCCTCTTTTGTGGGATCATTGTGGGGTTAAACCAATGTATATGCTTAGTGCTTGGCTACCTGGTTGGGTGCTGAGATGGGGCTGAGCTAGGAACCACTTCACCTGAGCACATAGCAGAGCAGAGCCACCGGGATGGCTCAGCCACCTTTCTGCCCTGCTTTCAGATGTCATCTTCCCTTCAAAATGAAATTGCTGACCCATTTGGTCAAATTTTGGCTTGAGGTACTTGGGGCCTTCTTTAGTTTGCTTCAGACCCTAGTGTCTATCTCCTTAGTGAGGCAGCTTTATCCTGCCCATTCACTTCTTACATTTGTCCATCCTCACTCCTGTCACCCATGGGGTTCTCTTAACTAATTACACAAAAGACTTAGGTTTCTCTGAAGAGTTCACTTTTAACATCTGCTGTCATCCCTCCTTGTTCCGCCTCATCCAGGTATGAGCATTTATGGTGACACATTTCCTGATGAGAACTTCAAACTGAAGCACTATGGCATTGGGTGGGTCAGCATGGCCAATGCTGGCCCTGACACCAATGGCTCCCAGTTCTTCATCACCTTGACCAAGCCCACCTGGTTGGATGGCAAACATGTTGTATTTGGAAAAGTCCTGGATGGGATGGTAATTTGAAATATCTTTTTTTCTCCTCTCTTACAAAGCTTTATATTTATGAGGAGATATTCAGTGATTCATTGAATCTAAAATGTGCTGTTAGATACCCATTATTTGATGACTAGAGTTATTAAAGTGGACCAGTAATATATGACATGGTATTTTAATTGCTAAAGGCATTAAAGTAGACAGGGGAGAAGCTAGGTACTTCAGTTATTTTAAGAAACATAACCAAATAAACCAAGGACTGAATATGCATTCAATGAAATATTTGGTATTTAAAAATAATAAATGAATACATGCAATAACATATATGTATAGATAGATAGATAGATAGATCATATATCTATCACCTAGCTAGATAGCTCTCTGTCTATCATCTATCTATTCACACTTTTTGAAATCTTATTCAGTCACAAAAAGATAGTGTTTTTTTTATATTATATAAAGTATTTTATAATTATATAAAGTATTTAGAGTAGTCAGGTTCATAGAGATAGAAGATTGAGAGTTGTAAGGGGTAGAAAAAGAGCTATTTGATGAATACAGACTTTAGTTTTGCAAGTTGACAGAACTTCTGATTGCATGCATGTAAATATGACTAAGCTATGTACTCATTTTGTGATTTTTCTTGAGAAGAGATGGACAAACACCTATTCACTCTAGATAGAGCAGTGGTGACAGACAAATGGAATGATTCTACCAAAGCCCAACTGGGCAAACCAATTAGTTTATTGGGGTTTCTTATAGGAGTCTAGATGAGGGTTTACTTACAGAAGAATGGATGACTCAAGGCAGCTATGTCACTGAAGAGCCCATTCCAACATGAGTGACTACTCAAAAAAGCTACAGCCTTGGAGATTTCTGCATATCCTGCCAGCAGTTCAACTGTCCTTCGAGTTCCCTTTACCCAGCAGTCCTTATTCCTTATATAACTTGGGGGAGGTGCCTTGTGAATCTTGTAAATTTCAGGGACTATATGAGATTTTTAAGTTGTTTATTCCTGAGTCTTAAGAGCCTCGTCTGAAAAAAAAAAATCACTATAGAATTTTGAGCTTTAAAATAAACCCTTTCTCCCATTTAAAAAAAATTCCATCTAGAATGGAAATTTTTCAATATGGAGGATATTACTACATGGTACTCCTTAAAAATGGATTGATGGTAAATTTTATGTTGTATGTTTCTTACCACAGTTAAAATAAAATATTAGCCTGCAGGTGGAATACAACTTTAATCCCATACTCAGGAGGCAGAGGTAAGCAGATATCTGGACTTGAGGCCAACCTGGTCTACAGAGTGAGTCCAAAGCCAGACAGAGATACATACTGATATTCTGTCTTGGAAATAAAATACAAATACTATAGCTGACTGTGGTGACACATGATTTATAATCCCAATACTGAAGAAGCAGAGGCAGGAACATTGTGATTTCAAGACTATCTGTGCTATACAGAAAGTCCTAAGCTAGCCTGGGCTAAAATCAAGACTTGTCTTAATAATTAAAAAAATGATCAAACAAATACTTTCAAAAAATCCTGAACTCATGTGACACAATCCACATATTAAGTTACATATAAAGACACATATTATAATTACCAGAAACTATTGAGAGGATCCAAATCTACACTGCTACTTATTCATTGAAAAATAACAAAGCTATCCAATTCATAACCCATATCTGAAAATCCCCATTCTTCTCAGCTCTCAGGATTTCTCCTATACTGCCAAGAATGGCTTGCTCAGTCTCTGCCAAATGTCCAGCTATCCTGGTTAGCTTCCCTGTTGCTGTCATGAAACACTGAGCAACTTGGAGAGGAAAGGATTTGTCTTAAGAGTGTGTATTGCTGAAACACTGTGACCAAAGAAAACTGGGAAGGAAAGGGTTTATTTGGCTTACAGTTCCACATTCATCATTGAAGACAGTCAGGGCAGGAAATCAACTTCTGAAAGCAGAAGTTGATACAGAGGCCATGAAAGGGTGCTGCTTAGTGTCTTGCTCCTGGTGGCTTGCTCAGCCTGCTTTCTTATAGAACATAGGACCACCAACCTAGGGATGGCACCAACCACAATGGGCTGGGCCCTCCGCCATCATTCACTAAATTTTAAAATGCCCTACAGACTTGCCTATAACCCAATCATATGAGACATTTTCTCAATTGAAGCCCTCTTCTCTTCAGTGACTCTATCTAGCTTGTGTCAAGTTGACATAAAACTAGCCCGCAAAGGATTTAGGTTTCCAGGATACCGTCCATCAATGAAGGAAGTCAATGCAGGAACTTGGAGGCAGAAACTGAAGCAGAGGCTATGAAGAAGTGCTGCTTCCTGGCTTGCTCTCCATGGCTTTCTCAGCCTGCTTTCTTACATCATCCAGGACCATGTGCCCATAGTGGGCTGGGCCCCCCAATATCAATCACCAATGAAGAAAATGTCCCACAGACATGCCCACAGATGGAGGCAGTTCTTCAGTGACTAGTTGACACACACAGAGCAGCACACCAACCCTGGCTTCCCTTTGCTCTTTGCTCTATTTCTCTGGGTTTCGTTTGCATGTGAGCTGCTTTTGGTCATCTGGGTTCACACAGCATCTCACTAGTTGTTTTTTCTATCACATATATCGACTGCTATCCTTATGCCACCTAATTGAAGGCCAGGAACAGAGTTGTACTAGGGTGAGCTCATCATAAAGAGCTTTCTTGGTCACAGTGTCCTCCATCCTTCAGTGTGAACCTTAGGTACATGGCTATGAAAGGCTCTCTGGGGTCCCTGCCACTTGGGATTAAATTATACCCATCACAGATGCAACTTCTAGACAAATGGCTTAGGTTGTCTGTAAAGAAGTAAAGTAAGAGCCAGGCTTCTACTACAAATGCTTTCTGGACTGCATTCACTGGCCTAGACTAGGACAGGGGTAGAGCTGTAGTGGATCTGGATGCCGTGCTAATAATTACAATGGTTAAATAGAAATACCTTCTATTAGAGCTATGGATTTACAAAACTAGCTAAGTCTTTTTTAAATATAAAATGTTTATTAATGAAGAAATGGGGACATGTATATTATCTGAGTTTCTGAGGAACAAGTGATTTTATTCTGAGTGGATTGAAATAGAGCATATATTATTGTATATAAACATATCATACATATACTTATCATACACTATGTGTAATATATGTGTGTGTGCTATATGTATGCATATCTATTATAGCATGTATATGTAAACACCCCGGATAATCTCCGGGGTGCTCCATTCATGGTAGCCATGTTTTGAAGAATGATAGTAGCAGATGAGAAGAATGCTGGAGTTGTGTTACAGAACATGGTTTTATAATGATGAAACATGCCCAGGGCTGGGGATGTAGCCCAGTTGGTAGAGTGCCTACTGAACATACAGGAAGAGCTGGGCTTGATCCTCCCCACCACTTAAATCTGATATTGTGGTGCAGACCAGCCATCCCAGCATTTGGAAGCAGAACTATCAAAAGATCAGCAAGTTCTAGGCCAGCCTGACATGCAAGGCCCTGTCTCCAAAGAGAAATAACATGTTTTTCCAAAGAGAAACATGACCCATTTGTGCTTCCGGAATTGGACTAGTGATTCCTGTGAATTGTCCCAGCTGCTGACCCCAGATAAGCCACAGGTTTGTTTCTGTCTTGCCAGACTGTGGTACACTCCATAGAACTTCAAGCAACGGATGACCATGACCGCCCATTTACTGACTGCACCATTGTCAACAGTGGCAAGATCGATGTGAAAACGCCCTTTGTGGTTGAGGTCCCTGACTGGTGACAGAAATGTCGAGAAACAGGGAACACACTCCGGCTGGTCCATGTGTGCACCTGCTGTCCACCGTCTGTCTTCTGATTCTTTAGATACTTTAAGTTGTACTTTTTAAAAAATTGTCTTTTAATTTCCCCAGTCCAGATTGCAACAGAGATTTAAAAATCAACACAGATGTCCCAGAAAGCACTTATGATCTCAGCATTTGGGAGTTAGAGAGAGGAGAATCAGGGGTTCAAGGCCAGCCTTGGCTATATAGAGTTTGAGGCTAGCCTGGTCTTTGTGGAACCTTGTCTCAAAAAATCACGCCAACAATAAAAATCAATCAACCAACGTTTATTGTGCATGACTTTGGCATATTACCTGAGCAGGTACTTTAAATTGAAACAACATATCTTTCATTTACAATGGTGCTATTTTTAAATCAGAAAACTTTGTTTTGGCTATTTATTTTTAAGAACACGATCTTAAGCTGGGCATGGAAGCACACACCTGTAATCCCAACACTCAGGAGGTAGAGGTAGGTGGATCTCTGTGAGTTCAAGACCAGCCTGGTCTACAGAGCAAATTCCAGGATAGCCAGGGCTACACAGAGAAACCCTTTCTCAAACAAATAAGAACACTGTCTCTTAATTGTTTGGTTTCACTCAGTTCCTTGTGATCGCCACTGGGTGATCTGGAAGGTTTGTTTGAGAAAGGTGAATATAATGAGGTTTAAAATTCTCTGTTCAAATAATTCTTGTCAGGTAAAGGGAAATTTGAGTATTAGCGTATGTTGTATGTCACCAGCATTTTTATGCTTTGATGTTCTTTTTATTAAATTCTTTTTATGTGAATTGGCTCTTTTTGCAAGACTTTTATTTTCATTTTTACAATATGGATATTTTGTCTGAATGTGTGTAGAGTGCCCATGAAGTTTAGAAGAGGGCACCAGGCCCTGGTACGGCAGTTGTAGAAAGTTGTGAGCTGCCATATGTGTGTAAGAAATCAAATGTGGGTTCTTTGGAAGAGCACCAGAAATGGGGAGACACAGACTCTACATCCCAAACATGTAAGCTGATCATTCACAGTGGTTCTCAACCTTCCTAATGCTGCGACCCTTTAATAGAGTTCCTCATGTTTTGGTGACCCCCAACCAGAAAATTATTTTCATTGTTACTTCATAACTATCATTTTGCTGCTGCTTTGAATCATAATGTAAATACCTGATATGCAGGATATCTGACCTGTGACCCCTGTGAGGGTTACGACCCACAGGCTGAGAACCACTGATTTAGTCTGGCATCTTGAGTGCAGTTGTTATTCAGTCTTAGTTGGTAGTGTGAGTCAAGATTCAGGCTGTATTTAAGTGAAATGGGACACGGTAGTCTTCTTAGGGCTGTGTGACATCTGTGACGATACAGCAGAGGCCAGACTCTGATTAGGTGGAGAGAGACTCATGCCAGGCAGTGAGAGTCAGCGAAGGCTCTCTTTATTGCAGAAAGAAAACTGTCTCAGCAAGAGATGGAGTAGGAGGAATGGCCTACTCCAGTGTTCAGCAATGGCCCAGCAGCTGAACACTCGGTCTTGTTCTTACAGAGAACCCAGTACCCACATGGCAGTTCACAACGATCTGGAACAACGCCAGTTCTGGGGCTCCAACACCCACTTGTGGTCTCTGTAGGCTCCAGGCATGCATATGGTGCACCTATACATGCAGGCAGAACACACATAAATAAATCTAAAAAAGATTAAAGAAAAGTTTTGAAGAATCAGAAGTAGGCACCCTTGCTGCTGCTGGTGATATTGTAAAATCTATAATATGCTTAGGGAATGGTTTGCGCATATATTTTTAACAACAGATATTTATTGTGGGGCTTTTCTGTAACTGAGTCAGATCTTTGTTTGACTTTTGAGATATGAGAATGGACAAAGAAATGGGTCTTATCATGCAGTTGACATTCTCGTGGAGAAAATGGAAGGTCAGCAAGCATAAAGAGAGATGAGGGAGATGAGAGAGATGACGTGTGTTACTAGGGTTGGGTGGGAAACCCCATTAGAGCTTGCTTCCTATGAATCCCTTGAAGGATCAAGTTTGCACAAAGATGTGAAGAATGAGTAGGAGGTGACCGAGGAAGATCTTTTCTATTGCTGTGATAAAACAACACAACCAAGGCAACTTACAAAGGAAAGCTTTATTTGGGCTGATGTTTCCAGAGAGGTAAGTGCCCATTGACATCACATCAGAGAAGTATTGCAGCGGGCAGACAAGCAACCGAAGCAGCAAGCTGAGAGCTCACATATTAAACTACAAGCAGGAAACAGAGAAAGTGAGCTGAGGTTGTTGCCTAACTTTTAAATCTCAAAGCCTACCCCAGTGACATACTTCCTCCATCGAGGCCACACCCCCTAAGCACCATCATCTGGGGACCAAGTCTTCAAGTATCTGAGCCTATTGAGGGCTTGACAAGGAGGAGAAATGCAGAGGCCTGATGTGAGAAGGAGTGAATTCCAGGCAGAGGAGAAAACCAGCCTTCAGAGCCTGATGTGGAGGAGACAGGATGAGATGAGGCCAGACAATGTTGAGCCTGAACAGCTGGAAGAGCTGGTTGTCAGAAGGGGAACTGTAGGGTTAGTGGAAAGGTGGAAGATGGATTTCAGGAAGACTCTTTTGTCTACTGTAAGCATTTTTAAAGGGAAATGAAGAGAAATAAGTATCAGGAAATGTAAACACATATCCTATGTGTTCTGTCTTCTGAGATTTGGCATCAAAGCATTCTTAGCCATAATGGACACCACTATTTTGGTCAGCCCTGCAGCTTAGCTCTTTCTTGTGGCAATGGATGCCCGAATTCTTGTTTTCTCTTTTCTTTTCTTTTCTCTTCTCTTTTCTGTGACATCTGTGTGGAACAAGGACTGTCTCTGACATGAACTCAGTGACTGGCTCTTTGATCACCTCCCTCTGAGGAGGGAGCAGCCTTACCAGGCCACAGAGGAAGATAATGCAGCCAGTCCTGATGAGACCTCCTGATAGGCTAGGGTCAGATGGAAGGGGAGGAGGACCTCCCCTATCAGTGGACTTGGAGAAGGGCATGGGAGGAGAAGAGGGAGGAAGAGTGGGATTAGGAGGGAATGAAGGAGGGGGCTACAGCTGGGATACAAAGTGAATAAACTAATTATTTAAAAAATATTTTTTAAAAGGAAAAAAAAAGATCAGGCTATAGGCAGGCCTGTGAAACATTTTCTTAATTAGTGATTAATGGGGGATGGCCCAGCCCATTGCGGATGGTGATCCTGGGCCCTACAGGTAGTAGTAGTATCTGTATTCCATCCCTAGGATGGTGGTCCTGGATCTACAAGAAAGCAGGCTAAGTAGGCCATGGGGAGCAAGCCAGTGAGCAGCACCCCTCCATGGCCTCTGCATCAGCTCCTGCCTCCAGGTTCCTGCCCTGCTTGAGTTCCTGTCCTGACTTCCTTGGGTGATCAACAGCGATATGGAAGTATAAGTCAAATAACTAGCTCCCAACTTGCTTTTTAGTCATGATGTTTTATCGCAGCAATATAAACCCTAAGAGAGTGCTGTCCCTCAACCTGGCTCAATGAATGGTTTAGGTCTGGGTGTTTGACCTCAGTTGTATTAATCAGTCTCAACCACAGGACATCAGCCGGGGTGTAGGAAAAGAGCAGCTGTCTTTGTGCAACGGGTACGGTGTAGTAAGACTGAGAATGAAATCATCAGAGAAAGGCAGGACCAGAAGGAAAAAGGATGGATTCCTACAAGCAACATCAAAGCAAAAGGAGGGATTATTTAGAGTGAAGATGAAGAGAAGGAGACAAAGAAAGGCAATAAAAGAGCCAAATAAGAGGAGTACCCACATATGTATAATATTTTATAACTAAAATAATAGATATGTATATTTAATAACAATATTTAATAATCATATGTATATATAAAGTATATGAAAGTGGGCCAATGAAACCCATTGCTTTGTATACTAAATTTTAAAAGTTAATAAAGAAAATGAGAAAACATGTGTTCCTGAAGACATCACTTAGCTTCTGTGTCCACTAATGTCTGAATTTAATTCATCCCTCCCTTTTCACTACCCAGCCAATACATCTCCTTTTTCGCTTAAGCCAGGACAAATTGATTTCCTTTGACATACAACCTGAACTCTTTGTCTAACAGAGCAATATTGAAAACATTTTGTGCACAAAGGCTAAGAAATAACTAAAGGAAAATGCTGGAAGTAACTTTAACCCCCAATGTTTATTAAGTATGTATCACATAACAAAATAGCATCATTCATGAAGAATAAGGGGAGTAATGATGGGCTTATTCTTTTATTTTTGAGATGCGGCATCATGCAGCTGAGGCTAGTCTTGAGCTCTCCATATAGCTGAAGATGACCTTGAACTTCTGCTCCTCATGGCTCCACCTCCCACGTGCAGAGGTTGCAGATCTACACCAGGTTTATGTAGTCCTAGGGGTCAAACCCCAGGCTCCGTGAATGTTAGGCAAGCACTGTACCAACCATGCTACAGCGCCAGCCCCGTATTGTTGGCTTGTAAAAGCAGAAATCCTGCTAGCAAGGATGGCTCTGTGGGTAAGGGTATTTGCTGCCAATCCCAGAGACCTGAGTTCAATCTGCTTGTCCACGTTGTAGAAGAAGGGAACTGACCCTCACAAGTTATTTGTCCTCTCACCTCCGAGTATATGCTATAGCACATGCCTCCCCTGGGCCCCAACACAATACACTATTATGTATGTGATAGTTACATAAACACAAATGTAGCTTTCCACAGTGGATGAGAATGGTGGGAGGTATTCAGTTTCACTTGTTGTATTCTTTCTACTTTTTTCAGGTTTCCAATTATTCCCTAGGATGCATTTAATGTTAGTAATAACAACACCCCACCCCCCATATTTTAAACAAAGGCAACAAGAAGAAACTGGAAACAAAGGACCTCACAGAGGCAAAAGTGCCTGCAGCCTTTACATGAGCAAGCACATAAGGTACTGTGAGCCTACGCATAAGGATGGGCACCTGGGCCCATATCCGCCACCTAGGTTTTAATCAGGATGAGCTGAAGTGACACTGCTCCAGTGACAAGAAAAAAAAAGTAGTTCATCTTAGAAGCGATGAATTCTGAGAGCTCTCGAGCCCTGGCAGTAAATGATCACATCTTTGATTGTACCAGACGACCAATGAGCTAATGACACCAAGCCCCGCCCCCAAACAAATAAAGCCAAACAAACAAAGCTTGTATGTGGTAGGCCAGGATTCAGCCTGAAACCTCACTATGAAAGTAGGAACTGTGGCTCTTTGAACAAATTATATGTGTGTGTGCTT